GGGGGGGGGGGCTAGCTCCCCCATATAATGCCACCTAATATCTGGGTTTTTATGTGAAATATCTCTGTAATTATATGGGATCTAACGTTGAAACCACTTGATCATACCGGATCTAACAAATAGCTTCCAAAATAGCTAACTGTTTGGTCAATTTTTTGATAAGGGGGGGCTGATGACGGGTTAGCCCCCCTGCAAATAACTGTTAATATCTCTATTTCTGTGTGAGATCTAACGCAAACAACAGAGATCTAACCTGATCTAACAAAGATCTAACCAACTGCATATGTTTTGTTCAAAAATTTTGATATGGGGGGGCTAACCCGGCTGAGGTCTGTGACACTGCTTCTGAAGCATTAAAAAAAAACAGCCAGCATGTAAAAGAAGAGTAAAAACATTCTTCCAGTTGCACGGATCTTTGCAGTCTTGTAGCTAAAGAATCTTCAGCATACAATTCTCCCGGATGTGTTGGGCATCCCCCACTGTGTGCTCTAGTTTCACCTGCTAGGTCACTGCTTCCCTGCAGAGTTGCACTGACATAGAAGCCGGCTCGTGTAAGCACAGCATGGGGGGGGGGCATCCAACTCACCTGGAAGTTTTGGTTGTTAAAGATTCTTTGGTCAGTGTAGTTGAAGGATTTGCATTTCTTTCCATATAGTCCTGAGATTTACACAGCTCCGCAGCACAGCTCTGTGGCAGGGCATGAGACCTGATCTGGAGGCCAAATCCAAAATAGCATAAAAATGTGTTTTGTTTGACGAAACTAATGAAAACATTTTTGGCTTCCGTTCATTTGGTCTGAAACTAATTTTTAGTCTTTGCACATGTCTAGTAATATGTGTGTGTGTGGGGGGGAGGTTAATTTTTTATTATTATTCTTTTTTACTGTTGGGGGCTTGGGGGAAATATTGGGGGTCTGAGGAGAAGCGGGGATCTGAAGAGAAGCTGGAGCCTGTGCCGCTCCTCTTCTCCCTGCCAAGCTGGGATTGTGTTGGCCGCCTGATGCCCCTGTTGCCAATGGCGCCCTGTGTTTGCCATGACAAGAGGGGCAAGGGGGCGCAGCCAGGCCGGCCCTGGATGCGCCCCCTATCAGCTGTGCCTGAGGCGAGTGCCTCACTCGCCCCATGGTAGCTACAGCCCTGCGGTCTTGTCCCTCCCCCACCCTGTGACTGGACAGTGAAGTTAGAAGCAGCAGACTGATGAGCTCCTCTTTCTGCTCTCCCCTGCCCTCCGCACTGCAGCACAACTGATTGGCTCCTTGTGCTGATTCTCCCTCTCTGAGCTTTGCTGCACGGGGACTACAGAGGTATTCTTTTATTATTAAAGCACAGCACGCCACCAATGTTTCCATCTGTGTATTGCGTTGTGCAGCAATGCACGTGATTTGGGGTGCATTTGCAAGGTGCAATTGGGTGCCATTCAAAATTGATGACTGTGCTCCGTGCAAGTGTTTTAATGCCTGTTACTCCTTCGTTTACAGGCTGTTTTGGGTCTTTGTTTTTAGCAACAGAATTTTTTTTTAAATATTGCAGAAAAATCAGCAGGGCGTACCTTCATCCGGACTCTCTGCCAAGTCCAGTCCCTTCTTTTGCCTCCTGCAAGAAATAAATAATTCAAATATAAAACTGTATCCAAAAAACAAACCAGCAGCACCACCGAGTGAGTGCAGACACAGGGGGACCATAATACAATGCAAAACCCACAATAAAAAAAGTACCCTCTGAACAAATGTCCGTGCCATGGAAATTGAGAAAGCTGGTCGGATGACCAACGAAACGTCATCAAGAAAAGTCCAGTTGCTTTGATTTATTTATTTTTTCACAGATATCTCTTTATGGGGGTTTTTTTTTTTTTCTCTATGGATTGAACTCGATGGACTTTTTTGCAACCTGAATAATTATGTAACAAGTACAAAAAAAATATGAAATTGAATAAAACCAATAAATGACACCACTCCACCCTACAACCTAACCTATAAGTAGGGGCTGTGCAGAAATGTGGACAAATATATACATATATTATGTTTGCATAAAAAATCCCAAATCCAAAAATAAATAAAGGCTAAAATATTAAAACTTGCAAAAAGGAGAGAGACGATGTATCCCGGATCATTTCTGAATCATATGGACTGGTGTCAGCGAGCTCTACATTTGAATATACACTGAGTGGCCAGTTTATTATGACTACCAAATTAGCTATAATTTGGCGCTGAAGTTGCTAGAGGGCCAGACCATTATAAATAGGGAAGCGGGTTGGTTACCACGACAGTAGAAGTGATTGGGAAGATACGGGGAAACAACGCGATGTAACAGCCTTTGAACGCGGGATGATTGTTGGCGCTCGGAGCCATGGAGCGAGTATCAGCAAAACAGCAGAATTCGTTAAATGTTCAAGAGGGGCTCATTGTTAAAGTGTTTTATTGAGAGATGTCACTCAGAATGTCAAGGGCCACCTTCATCAGCCTCAGACAATGTCTACTCTGAGCCTGATGAAGAGGACCCTGTGTGGCCCCGAAAGCACTCGACATCCTGAGTGACACCTATCAATAAATGGATTTGCACTGACTTAAAAGTCTCGTCGTGCTGGTGACATCTGTATTCAAAAGTTGTTCCATATGCGGCGCCATGCGCGGTCATTTCAAGCACCCATCAATATTTTGGGATTTCCGGTAAGGAGTGCTACAAGATCTATGGACATTTGCAGGGAGATCTACATGTTTGGCGGCTCCCGTGGCTTCATCAGGATTAAAGTGCCATCAGGGGCGTCCCGAGGCTGGGTGACACCCAGGGCGGTTACCGGGTGTTCCCCCCCCC